TTACCCAGTAGCCCGACCTGGCAGCTATTGGAAAACATTTTCACTTTGACATTTTGCTAATGACAAGGTTTGTTTCCGTTTAGGTTTTGATATTGACAAACCGTAAGGAACATGGAACAAAATGAAAAATTCAAAGAGATAGAAAAAGTTCTTTGAAGGAACAAAAAGCACAAGAAAGGCATTGACATTTCTAAACACGACGACATTAGCGTTTTGAAGACGTTGTCTAAAGACTTTGGCTTTTATTGTAACAAGCTCATTCAATTTCTCTACGTCATGGCTCAAAACTAAATATGTTTTTCATGCATCAAATGAGTTTTTTCATAAATGCTTTTAAGTTTCTAAAACCCTTGGTTCTTTCCCAACCAAAACCATCGGTTATCGGCGTTCGGCTATGGCGTTTGGTTTTCGGCATGGGTTATTGGCATTGATTTTAACAAAATGGTTTTTGGGGTTTTATCTTTGGTTTTTGCTTCTAGACACATTTAAAGATTTTCGAAATCATTAGTTTTCAAAAACCATAACCTTTGTTTTTTCGGCGTTGGTTATCGACATTCGGCGCTGGTTATCGGCGTTGGTTTTTGGCACCCAAATCAATCAAGTTTTTTTTAATATTTTATGATTTTTTTTACTTCTGGGAGTATCCAAATAGTTCTCCAACAAAAACATGTTAAAAGCCACCTCTCGTTTTTGGTCTTTTGGTGAAAACCATGTGAAACGGCATAAACTTGGCTAGCCGTGGTTTTTACCTTAATGAAATGGTTTTTAAGTTTTTATACTTGGTTTCTACATAAAATACATTATATAAGAGTTTCCAACACTTTGTTTTCATTTTGGAGAACTTTGGTTTTTGACATCGGTTTTCGGCGTTGGGTGGCAAACCATGGTTCTAGCGACCAGGCCCAACATAGATGTTGGATTTTGAACATAGATGTATGAACAGCGATGTTGGGATTTGAACATCTATGTTTTGGTTAGGTTGGCTCACATCAGTATGGGGCAGTAGGTTTTTGAACAACGATGTTCATTTTGAACAACGATGTTTTCAAATAACCATTGGGCTATTTAAGGCAAAATCTTTCCATTTTTGAAAGTCAATCGCCCCAACATCGATGTAGACTTCTAGACATCGATGTTTTGATGACCATTAGCCATTTTTAAAGGAAAGTCTAAGCCAAAACAACGATATTCACTATATGAACATCGATGTTTTGATGACCATTAGCCATTTTTAAAAATATTGTTAAAACCGAGTTCTTGAGATTTCCAATAAAGTTGTGATATTTCACTATGTGGTTTGATGTCAATCTTTGAAGACTTAATCAAATTCAGTGATATGGAAATTGGAATTCTTGATCGAAAATGTCAGAGACAAGTAAGGAATTCTCAAAGCAGTTGGTTACTTTGAAGATTCTCTAATCAGGAACACTCCACAATAACCGGATGTCTCGCAACAATCCGTTGAAGGCTAAGTCATCTGGATCGAAAGACTAGCGCGAATCTTTTTCTCACCTGGAAGTCTATGAATGACTTTTCCGGAATTGTCAGCGAAGAACCGGATGTCTCAAGGAAGACCGGATCTCTCAAAAGCAGACTAGTGAGAATGGACTTAGAAAAATTATCTAAGTCTTGGATGAAGAAATTCTACCCGTTGGTTAGGAAAAATCAATCTCTTGATTTTCAACGGCTAGATTGAGGATATTTAAGCTGATTCAAGAACAAATAACTTGAAGACAAAGTCTGGACTTCTCAAATTGAAGAGCTTGCCCAGAATTCCTAAACAAGCACTAGAAGACAAAATGGGTACTCCACTAAATAAAGAGCTACAGTCCAGAATTCTTGAACAACAACTAAAAGATGGACTCTGTGAAAAGGGAATCCTTTCTCAAAAGATTGGGTATGTCCAAACACCCATTCCAATAAAAAATCCTCAATCTCACTCTTCGTTCAAAATTGAAGCCAGCAAATGCAACGGATAGTCTATTCCCTTCAACGGATAGTCTATTCCCTTCAACGGATAGATTATTCACTCAGCTATATATAGCTTCCACGGAAGACTGGAGAAGTATGAAGGAATGAGATAGCGAACAAAACTACAACAACGACGAACTAACACTATCTCATTCACAGCTAACCAAAAAGCTTGATAAAGAGAGATTTCTAAACTCCTTATACAGAAGCAAACTTCTCATCCTTCCAAAGAGCTATAGTGTAAACACTTGAAGGTTTCTTTGCCTCAAGTACCACACCACGTTGAAAGATACAACTTTTAATCAAACTTCTTGATTAAAAAGGAGGTATATCAACTTTCCTACAAGTTGATCTTGCAAGTCTTATTGTTCGGATCTTACAGTTGTTGAAGAAGCGTGACCTTTGAAGGAACAACACTACAAGAATTTGTAAGATCTGCGACGGACAAGTTCCGTCGCAGATTTGTGAATTCCGTAGCAAATTTAGAATTTGCAACAGATCTGCAACAGACTTTGTCCATCGCAAAAAACTTGTCGCTAGGTCAAAATCTGCGACGGAAGTTTGTGTCCGTCGCAAATCTGCGACAGTGTCTGCAACGGAAAGAAATGGCAAAAATCTAGCAAAAATCTGTGACGGAATATAAATCCGTTGCAGATCCTCGACGGGATATAAAAGTCCGTTGCAGATTTCTCAAAAATAAAAAAATATTTCCTTACGTCACTTATTTCCTAGTGAAAACACATAACCAATCTACAGTTTAACATACACAAGCTCTTGAGAAATTAAATAGAGCATCATATAATCATTACACAAGTATAACTATAAATATTTTTATTACATATACATCTCAAAAAACATTACAATTATATTTATATGTAATGAAGATACTTGAAATACATGCAACTTCTTACTCTCTTATAGTATAGTAATGGAGAGACTTTATTCAAGACTATAAATACGCTATTATGTAATCTCTTATTTCTAACTTTCAAGTTTTCAATATCCACCGGATAACTTATACTCTTCTGGCTTGTTGTCTTTTGTTGACAATTCAATTGTTGTAGACTTCAATAGATTGAACACCAATTGGCCTTATGCATGACTCAAATCCAAAATTGTCTCGTCCCAATGACTGAAAAAAGAACATAACAAAAAAACATTACCACCAAAAAGAGAATTAAAGGGGATACAATATAATAACATTAAGAGTAAGAAAAAAGAATGCTCACCATCCATAAAATGATTCCCTGTTTGAAAAAAATATAAGCACATGCAATGAATTGAATAATGAGGTCAATAATAGTAAGAACTTGATAATGAGAACACACCTTTGATCATAAATATTAGTGATGAGATTCGGGGATGCATTTTTCCCTATAGACAATAAAATTTAGATGGGATGAGAAATAATGAAAAAAAGTTACCTGACTTGCAAGAGGGAATCAAATTAAAACCAATACAAAGAGTAAACTGAAAATTAGAGCCATTGAAATAAAAACAGCACCAAAGATTAAAACCCAAACTAGCAAGAGGAAACAAATTAAAACTATTGTTAATGAGCAAATTAAAGCTTAAACACATTCATCATGATTTATACTTATTATTTTTAACACTACTATAAAAATATTTGTTTATTATATGTAATTGAAATTAGTACAAATTACCCAAAGTATTTAGATATTTGGTGATTAAGGCCAGGTGAAAGACATCACTGCTCATAGAGAAGGGAGTGGATTTTTGTCTACTATCTACAAGAACACAAACAAGCAACAAGGGCTCTAATTAATCAAGTTAGAACATTTTATCCCAAAAAATCAATAGAACAAAAAATATATTGAAAGAAATAAATGTATATTTGAAAATAAAATTGTAAATAAATAACACCATCTCAACTACATGACAATAATGTGCAATAATTGACAAGTAAAAACAAGAAAAAATGTTTAATTGACAAGGAAATTTCTAAAAAGTTGAATATTTCAACCAATTGATAATAAATCATAATAATTGAAGCTGTTTCAACCAATTGATAATAAATCATAATAATTGAAGCTGAAATCATCAATCAAATTGAAAAAAATTGAAAACAAAATAAACCTTGAATATGACCGACAAAGAGGCAGCGGCTGGTAGGCGAAGGATCAATTTCAGAGGGCAGCGACGAGGGTTGGAGATACAGTGGGGTGACATCGGCCGACGATTAATGGAGGAGGGAGGACAGCGAGAGGCGACGATTCACTGGTGAACCGTCTAGGGGTTGGTGTTCGGCCTAGGGTTTCTGCCTGTTGGTGTCTAGTGCTGGAGGTGGGGCTCTATCTCTGGCCGGCGGATGCGGGTGGACGGGAAGATGTGGAGATTAGGAACTAGGATGGGATGCACGTCAGGTCTATGGTCTGGTGGAGTTTTGACGCAGGGAACGGGAAGGGTTTCTGGTGATTTGGGTTTTTTGTGGATCTGAAACAAGATAAGGTTGAAGTTTTTATTTTAAAAAATATAACTCCAATCTGCGAGGGACTTTTTTGTTTCCGTTACAGATCTGCGACAGACTCTTATAATTCCGTCGCAGATTTGACTAGATTTTTTATGAACATGTTTTCATCGCTTTTCCGTCGCAGATTTGCGACAGAATAACATCCGTTGCAGATTTCTGTCGCAGTTTAGGCGAATTCTTGTAGTGAACACAGCCAGCACGTGTGCAGTAACAACATTGGTCTTGTGAAGATATACCATGCAGAAATTCACACAAGTGTAATTGTTGGTTCATCATTCAACAACCAACTACATAGTGAATTTTGAGGACGTAGAAGGATTACCCCACCTTCGAACCTCGTTAAAGTTTGCGTGTCTCTCTCTCTCTTTTATCTTTACTCATACTTGCAATTATATTAATTGTGAAACTAACCCATCCATATTGATTACCGCTCTAATAACCCACCAACTTCCGCACACAATCTAAAGTTCACAAGGACTTTAGATTAACTTTCATTTTCACGTTTTTAAAAGAAACGAAAAGGTTTTTAAATTTGTAACAAAGTCTATTCACCCCCCCCCCCTCTAGACTTTGTATCTCACCACTTTGGGACCACCAATCCGTTACACATCATTTTTGGGTATAAATAGGGGTCTTTTGGGTCTACTTTTTACAACCATTCCTCACACATTTCATAGCTTTACATTGCATCATTCCATAAACTTTTTACATAGCTTTTTAGAGCCATTTCTTGAGGAATTGAGTGTGTTCTTGATCTAAATTAGTTTACTCATATTCTACTCTTTAAGAGAGTTCTTGTTCTTGAGTGGTTAAGTGTTGTGAACACTTTAAGAGAGGTTTGTTCCCTTGGTTGTACGAAGGAAGGGCATATTCCTTCGGGTTGAAGTCTTGGAGTGCAATATCTCTGAGCAACTGTATTGAGGCTCGTGGGACTCGAGTTCTCAGGTTGTAACGGTTTGTTAAGCACCCGTAAGCTTAACGGAAGTAGTGTAGCTCGAGAGAGTCTCTCGGGAGGCTGGACTAGCCACACGTTGTGGTGAACCAGGGTAAATCGGTGTGTTCTTTCCTTGCGCCTTTTTATTCCGCTCTTTACTTTATCCCTGCGATTTTTATTCCGTGAAAATTTATAAACATTCTTGTGCCTCACTATTCACCCCCCCCCCCTCTAGTGAAGGGCACTTATTCTAACAGCAGCCCACAACCAACCGCCACCCTATCACCCAAGGCCCTAGCCCATACCTTCAACACCATGAATCTCCATGAACCTACTTGGTACATGGACACGGGAGCTTCACATCACATTGTCTCTGACCCTGGTACTATTTCACATGTTTTTTATTCAAGTATTTATTCACCACCACACATCACTGTCGGTAATAGTTCTAAAGTGAACACCACTGCGGTCGGTAAATATTTTTTAATACCTCCCCTCTTTCCCTTAATAATGTCCTCATATCCCCTTATATTATTCATAACCTTATTTCTGTTTGCCAATTTACATGTGACAATAATTATTTTATTGAATTTGACTCCCATGGTTTTTTTGTGAAGGACCTTCGAACAAGAATCGTGATACATCGCTCCAATAATGATGGCCCACTATACACTATCAGCCCTTCGGATGCCCAAGCCCATGCTGCCACTGTTGATCTTGACACATGGCATCGCCGACTTGGTCACTCTGGCCCTGCTGTTCTCCATGGGGTCTCTAGTCCTTTATTACCTTTTTAAATAAATGTCGGAAGTCTAGTTTATGTCATGCGTGTCAATTAGGGAAGCATGTCCGTCTTCCCTTTACTTTACCCACTAGTATTTCTACTTTCCCTTTTAAACTACTTCACACTGATTTATGGCAATCCCATGTCCCTAGTATTACAAGTTTTAAATTTTACATGTTACTATTGAATGATTATTCTCATTATTTATGGGTATTTCCTCTATGACACAAATATGAAGCTTACTCACACTTAACCAAATTTGTAGCTTTTGTTAAAAATCAATTTAATTCAACTATTAAAGCCGTGCAATGTGATAATGGAACGGAATATCGAAATTCCCTCCTTGCGTCGGTTTTTGACTCATTGGGGATAATGTTTCATTTCTCTTGTCCTCACACTAGTCAGCAAAATGGTTGAGCCGAGTGCACCATTCACACCATTAACAATACCATTCGAGCTCTCTTGTTTCACGCAAACCTACCTCCTAACTTTTGGGTGGAAGCCTTACATATGGCCACACACCTCTTCAACCTACTACCCACCACCACACTTCAAAATGGCACCCCCCTGAACTTGTGTACCACAAAACTCCCACATATTCACATCTCCGTGTTTTTGGATACTTATGATACCCAAACTTAACCGCCACAGTACCCCATAAACTTGCTCCACGCTCGACCCGATGCATTTTTCTTGGCTACCCATCTAATCAACGCGGCTACCGATGTCTTGATCTTCAAAATAATAAAATTATTATTTGACGATATGTTGTTTTTTATGAATCCACATTTCCCTATAATCACACTTCTTCTTCCACCGATTTTGATTTCCTCGACTTCATGGAGGATGATGACTTACCCTATCACCGCCAAAATCTCACCCCCCCCCACTTGCATCCATTCCCTCGGACAACACCCAACCCTCCCCCTCACTCACAGCCCAAAGAAATGAAACTCAAACCCCATTCCTCTCTTCGGATACCCACACCGAATCAGATCCCACTCTCAACACCCACCACATGGTTACCTGCTTCAAAGCTAGCATCATCCCCGAAAACCATTCTCAATATGAATACAACCGCCACTATCCCAATTTCACCCCCACCCCCCACATATCGCAGTGCACTAAAAGAATCTAACTGGTATGATGCAATGCGTGATGAATTTAATGCTTTGATTAAAAACAATACATGGGAACTAGTACCCCCTTCCCCTTATCAAAATGACATCACTGGAAAATGACTTTTTAATCACAAATTTGGTCCTGCAGGTGATCTGTCTAGGTATAAGGCTCGGTAGGTGGTCCGTGGCTTCAATCAACATTACGGTGTTGAATATGAGGAGACTTTTAGCCTGGTGGTAAAACATACCACTATTCGTATAATGCTCAGTGTGGGATTATCCCACAAATGGCCTATTCATCATTTTGATGTCAAGAACGCCCTTCTTCATGGAAATTTAGAGGAAACATTGTATACCACTCAACCATCTGGTTTTCAGGATCTCTCTTGTCTGCATTATGTGTGCAAATTCAATAAAGCACTCTATGGATTAAAGCAAGCACCCATGTCTTGGTATTATTGGTTTGCCACCTTCATTCAGTCACTAGGTTTTGAAGGATGCAAAACCGACACCTCACTTTGTCTACACTCATGGGAAGGACACAGCTTATCTTCTTCTTTATGTTGATGACATTGTTCTCACAACCTCCTCTACCTTGCTACTGCATTGTATTTCACAGCGGCTGAAGGGATAATTTTCCATGATGGACATGGGAGATATTAATTTTTTCCTTGGCACAAATGTTCAGCGAACAAAACGCGGCCTTTTTCTCCATCAAACTCAATTCGTGCATGAAATTCTAAAGCATTCCGGGGTGCTCACATGCAAACCCATATGCCGTCCAGCAACTCTATCTTCTTCTTCATGACCTACGGGTTCCCCATCTAACGACCATGAAGCAGGTCCTCCGATATTTACATGGAACATCCACATACGGTATCACTCTTACCCGTTCACCCACAGACGCCTTGCAGGCCTATTCAGATGCTAATTGGGCTAGATGTCCAGACACTCGTTCGTCGCTCCACATCTGGCTATTGTGTGTTCTTGGGTGATAATCTTGTTTCATGGTCCTCCAAACGACAAGCTACCACTTCTCGTTTTAGTGCAGGCAAAATATCAGGCAGTGGCAAACGCTGTAGCCAAGACTAGTTGGATAAGGAATCTGTTGTTGGAACTTCAACAACCATTACGTCGTGCTACTTTATTCTTCTCTGATAATGTGAGTACATTGTACCTTTCATCTAATCCTGTTCAACATCAAAGAACCAAACATGTGGAGGTAGATATTCACTTTGTTAAAGAAAAGGTTGCCTTGGGTAAGGTTCGAGTTCTACATGTTCCATCATCCTCACAGTATGCAGATATCTTCACAAAGGGACTGCCATCTCTGCTATTTCTTGATTTCAGAGACAATCTTGGTGTTCGTTCAGTACTGCCTAGATAGCTGGGAGCATGTTAAATATAATATTTATTATATTTAATGTATAATATTGTAACATATTTATCCCACCATGATTAAGGTAATTATCACACCTTAATTATGGAATCACTCTAGAATATTCTAGGCTACCCTAGGCTAATCTCACTCTTGTATAAATAATCCCTTGTACTCACATACTAAATTTATTCAGAAATAAAAAATATTTTATTCTTTCATAAAATCCCAACAACTTCATTTATCGATTTCATACCTTTTACCCTAAATGAGGATGAAATGTGAATGAAATGCAAAAAGGTAATGTAACGTTGAATTGAAAGTAAAGATGGTGGAGATAGTAGTGAACATACCCAACAACATTAGTGATAAAATTACATGATATTCCCAACTGTGTGGAGTCCGAATCACATCAAAAGCGCGAATTTGTTTCCTCAATGCAGGATCAACAAGTTATGTTTTAAATCTGACCAGTTGAGATTTACCTTTCCATCATCTTTGAGGGTACGAGCATGGAAAACATAGGGGTCAAGATTTCACCTTTTCTATGCTAGAGATACACCAAAAAATACATCCTATTTATATAATATTACTCTCTCAACCACACATTCTTTTATCCATTCTCTTATGTTTTCATCCTCACTCATATCTTTAAGTTTATCGATGACATTTTTCTTTTTTTAGTTCACTTCTTGGTTCATAGAATTTGAAAAGAAAAGATTTTTTTCTTCTCATTTTCCCCACAAAAATGAAAAGAATTTTATTTTTCCAACTCTTAGAGCCTGTTCTTTAGGACTGGAAAAAAAGAGTTGGATGTTGGAAGAAACTGGAAGAACTGGAAGAAACTGGAAAAAACTGGAAGTAACTGGTAAAAACGGGAAGGAACTGGAAAAAACTGGAAAAAATTGGAAGAAAGTGGAAAAACTTCAAAAAATTGGAAAACCTAAAATTTTTTTAAAAACATTTATTTTATATTCTTGTTGTTATAAAATATTATTATTATACTCCGTATTATACTATTATTATCATCATCATCATCATCATCATCATCATCATCATCACGTTATCTTAATGAATGCCTTTAAGATACAAAAAACGTATTGTTATTTTTTAAATACAAAAAACTACTTTTGAAAAAAATAATTATGATATAAAGCTAGCATAAATATAAAAATATTAAATTTCAAAAAGTCTTTGTGGTTATATTGCACCCCAATTTATTTATGCAGTATTTATTATAAATAATATATTTGTAGTTATACTTTATATATTACTCCGTACAAGATTTTTTTTAAATTTCTAACATGTCATATAATGTAATCAAACCTATTTTTCTTTCATGATTGACATTTTATTTTCATTGAAGTCCTATGTAACACCCTAATCCGTCCAGGTCTGCAGCCTCATTCGGACTAAAGTATTTAACTTCGTAATCGTAAAAATTTAAAACTTTTCAAACACACTTTATTAATCCCAATAATATTTTTCAATACATATACAATACGGAGTATTCAACAATATTGCGGAAGCGATTTTAATATTGACATATCATAAATTGTTTCAAAACTTGTCACATCCATCCCGACAATCTCGCCCCATCTGCCGCCAGGATCACATTCT